AACACAGAGCATCTTCAGAAGACAAGTTGATAAAGTAATTTTTTAAAATCTGTATTGTTCGATATGGTTCGATACAGTTCAATACAGGTACACGCATTGTTGCACCCCTAGTAAATACTAGGTACTGAGCTGGGTCCATGGCCCAGGTCTTTGGTTCTGCTGGTTCCTGGTGAGACAAACGACATCAAAGAAAATGTTTTCTTTGAAGATAAAGCTGCAGAGATTACATTTATTTTCTTCGTATTTATAATCTATTTGAATGCTATAGAGTAATATGTTTTTTCAAAGATGAAAATAATTAGTTTTTTCTTCTAAAATAAACTCCAGGCTCTGCTGGTTTTATGTTTTGTGGGTTTGAATCGGAAATGTTGCAGTTTCAGGACGTTGGGTTCTTTTTAGGATTTTTTACGAGGTCTCCTGAAGATGGTTTTGGGGAAACCCAAGCAGCAGAGTCTCTGGAGTCCTGTGGACCACAGAGTCTGCGTCCCACATGTTTGGACTGTCCCTGATCAAGTCACCACAGATCCTGTCCCCGCGCAGACGACTTCCCCCTGAACTCAGCCTGAAAAAGACATAAAGAGGCGAACGTTCAGCGGATTTTGTCTGCTGAGCTTTGTTCCAGATGACCTCAGCTGAGACCTGCAGCAGGTTGGACCGAAACCAACAAGCAGAAATATCTGCTGAACAAGTCGGGAAGCTGAGAAACGACACGTTTGGGACTGAAACAATAAATCCAGGACAGAGTTTCCTCAGTTTCTTCTGTGGTTTGGGTTGAAGGAGCGAACACAGAGCTGTTTCTGACTGACAGTCAGAGATTTAATGCGTTTCATCAACTTTCACATCAACAGGTCACCTGAAAGGTCAGAGCTCAGGAATTAAACTAAAAACTTTATGAGTTCAACAAACATGGAGACAGAAGGAATGAAAGCACTGATGAGACAGAGGACAGGTGAGAGTGGGCGTGGCCAAACTGAGGAGCAGGAACAGACAACCTAAACCTGAAATAGTATCACCATTAAATTGGATTTATTATCCTGTAAAACCTCAGAGTCAACAGGTTTTATTTATATTCATTCACCCAGAAACTGATGGATTCAGCTGATAACCCAGTTAAAACTGTCGGGTCCAAGTTTGGTTTGGTTTTGATCAAATATTGGATCAAATGGACTTGGGGGTAGGATCAGAGACCTGATTGGACCTGATCTGGAAAAAGCTGGCTAAAAAAACGTTTAAGCTGTTGGTTGAACTTTATTTTGTAGCACAAGAAGTTTTGGTTAGCGTTGTTGGTGCTAGCTGATGCTAACAGCTAGCAGCAACACGAACTGCAATAACCAACATCTTTTGAGTTTTTCTTTATAAACTCAGTGTTTGAGTAGCTTAATTTCAACAAATTCATCTCAAATTTCAAGTTCAAGAAGTTTTATTGTCAATGCTTCTTATGTGCAAAACAGACAGAGAATTGAAATTGTGTTACTCTCCTTCCCAGTTACAGCACTGAAAGAGGCATTTAAAACATCCGTGGTAAAATAAATCCTATACTCAGGTTCCTTTTGTATTTTCGCTGGATTTTTTTGGATAGTTGGAAAACAATATATATTTTTGAAAAGTAGATGGTATAAGCAATCAGAAAACCAATGTTTCCATTTGCACAGGTGTCTGCATGGCAGCCATCTTGGATTTTTCAAAATGGCGTCCGAAAAACCTAAATTTTGTGATTTCTCGGCTTCAGAATAAGCTAGGACTTTGATTTCAACACCTAAATCTACATTTTCAGGGGCAAAGAATCCAATGGCACCAAAACAAATTAGCTAAGTCTTACCAAAATGGATTTAATACAGAATTTTTCTTTTATTGATTGTTTTACAGACATCTGCATATGGTTTCAGTGAGCAATTAACAAGTAATCAGCTAAAATGGTACAATCCAATAACATTGTAAATAATCAAAAAAGTGACACTAAATGTATAATACAACAAGGACATAGATACGGATGAATGTGGGACATCGACACAAAAATAATAGGTATGGAGGGGCAAAAATAGAGATCTTTATACAAGAAAGTGGTGAATATTGCAAATATAGTGGAATAGAAGCTTAATGCTGATAGAAGTAAAAGTGATGTGTGTATACAATTCTTGGAGCTCACAGTTGAGGAAGTGGGGGTTGGGGGTAGAGGTGGGTATGGTGGTAGTACATTATGTGCAATAGTCAAGTTTTTTTTGTCGGGGTCCTGGCCTGAAGACTGTGCGGTCTCCTCCCTGATGGCAGCAGGCTGAAGAAGCTGTGCAGTGGGTGGGTAGCATCTCTCGCAGGCGGAGGGCTTTCCTTGTGAGGCGGGTGCTGTACAAGTCCTGAAGGGAGGAGAAGAGGGGTGCCAACAATCTTCTCAGCTGCTCTTACAATGCGCTGGAGGGTACTACGCTTGGCTACTGTGCAGGCCCCATACCACTGGTCAGGACGCTTCTCAATGGCCCCTCTGTAGAAGATGGTTAAGATGGGGGTGGGGCACCAGCTCTTCTTAGTTTGCGGAGAAAATAGAGCCGCTGATTTGCCTTCCTGTCCAATGCTGCTGAGTTGGTGGACCAGGAGAGATCTTCTGTGACGTGCACACCCAGGAAGTTCGTACTGCTCACCCACTCCACAGCAGTGCCGTTGATGGACAGAGGACTGTGCTGTCTGCGGGTTCTCCTGTAGTCCACAACAATCTCTTTGGTCTTCTCAGCATTCAGAGAGACGTTGTTTTGTTTGCACCATGAGGCCAGATGACTAACTTCGCTCCTGTAGTGTGTCTCATCCTTGTTGCTGATGAGACACACCACCGTCGTGTCACCTGCAAACTTGATGAAGAGGTTGAAGGAGAGAGTACCGGTGCGCAGTCATGGGTTAGCAAAGTGAACAGGAGAGGACTCAGCACACATCCTTGGGGTGCCCCTGTGTTCAGTATGGTGATGCTGGATGTGTTGTTGCCAACCCGCACTGCCTGTGGTCTTCCAGTCAGAAAGTCTAGCCAGTTGCACAATGATGTGCTCAGCTCCAGACTGTCCAGTTTGTGAACGAGTCATTGATGCTCATTTCAACAAATTCTTCTCAGTTTGCTGAGTTCATAACCGGGGTTGACTCGGTCCAAATGACTTTTTTCTGCATTTTACACAAAATA